CCCAACAACAACCTACAAACAAACAACAATCAATAAACTTTTGTCCCCAGAATCAACTTCGACAAGACCGTAGAAAGGAGAAAGAGGCATTGCAGAGTCTCATCCGTCATGAGGAAATCTTGGAGGAGCAAGAGGTGGAAATCAAGAGCCGTGTGAAGGAGCTAACGGTGGGTTTCCTTTCTTGGCAGACGACGAGCCAGTTCGTCTGACGTACAGCATAATAACACCGTTGTTTACAGAAATATATGACAAAACTCTTCGAAACCTCAGATAATCCATCTAGTCTATAATTTCATAAAGACTCCATGTTTATTGCAAGGGTCACTAATTTCTTCTCCGTTTGGTGTTAATTTTATGCAAATAGGTTAACGGATTTATACAGAAGTTTATGATGTTGAAAAGTTGGACGACAAAATTGGCTGAGTTTAAAGGTGGAATAGCCCTCCTTTGTTTTAGTAGAGGTTTTACGGTGCTCGCAACTGCTTAAGGTCATATGAGCGCCAGAAGATTAGAGGTGTTACAAACGAGTAACGAACATAAAAAAGAAGGATGGTAGATAAGCATGATGGGTGTTTGATAGGAATGGAGGAGCAAACCACATCAGAGCACCCGCCAACCACCCACAATAGCCCTCCATATAATACGAGTTGATGTTACCATTGTTTATTTGATGCCATAAACGCCTTCATTGTCCTCTCCATCAGTGATATATTACTTAGTACTTACTTTAATTGGGGGCTCTCGTGGCCTAGAGGTTAAGGTGTTGGTCTCTCATTCAAAGGTCCCGGGTTCGAAACCGGGTAGCGACCGAAACATTTTCTTCTCTAAAAATTGTCTCCTTTCACCTCCTTTCCTGCTCTCTAGCAAAGTTCTGTTGTCTGCTTTCATTTCCACTTTCTGCCCCCACCCCATTACCTCATTTGCCCCCTCCTCTGGGCTCCTGACTCTTTCTGCAGCCTTTCTACTGCTACTCCTTGGCTCCTCCTTACTGCTGTCTTTCTGCCACACCCCTGATGGAAAGATCTACACCTAGCCTTCTCGGACAAGGGCGAAAAATCTCGGAGGGCCCGTGTGCAAGTTGCGGGCGTTAAAGATCCCTTGTTGGTCTAAAATCGATAAGAGTAGGCTTCGGCCGCCACCCAGGCAAATAAAAAATTTCCTACCAACTGGAAATATTAGGTGTGTCCCGCGCGCTCATAATGACCTTATGCAGTTGCGAGCGCCGTAAATCACTTTACAAAAACAAACAAACATTACTTTACTTTATCTGCCGCTGAATCCGTGAAGTGCCATTGGGAGGTAAAGACGTTGGTTCTCGGCAGATTGGAAAGGCTCCCGGAGCCTGAAACTGTGAGGTTTTAAGGCGTCCTTCACTCCCTCAACCCAGCTTTTCCTGGGTGCTCTTCTCGCTCTGTAGTCCTGTATTCTTATGTTGTAGGTTTTTAGGGTTAGTTGATAGGCATGTAGTTAGATGTTCAAACTATTAATTGATTTTTTACCTTTCAATGTTTGTTCTAGAACAATCTCTAGAACAGTCATAAATATCAGTCTGACGTTTTTTTCTTCTTAAATTCTAGTATCTAAGTCTCCTTGTCCTGGGAAATCAATTGCTATCAAACTTTCTCGCTGACACCGTCATGAAGAACGCTAGTGTGGCTGCTCTCAAAGCGATGAAATCATCATGCAGAAAGACTTCTCAGTGTAGTTCATTTATTATAAACGGTAGATGATGATTTCATCTGTGAACACGGATTAACAGGGACAATGAATGATACAGGTACAACATAACATGAAATAGTATGGATTACACCACATAACGTACAGGGAACATGAACTAATATCATATAACAAATAACCATACACTTTGCCTTTCAATGTTTGTTCTAGAACAATCTCTCGTTAGTCGTAAATATCAGTCTGACGTTTTTGTTCTTCTTGAATTCTAGTATCTAAGTCTCCTTGTTTCTCGTTCCCACTGATTTTCCTGGTGACTATTGCTGTTTCTCTAGGTTTGTTTCTGTCCACGCAGACGACCTGTGATGTAGTGTTAAGAGAGAGAGAGAGAGAGAGAGAGAGAGAGAGAGAGAGAGAGAGAGAGAGAGAGAGAGAGAGAGAGAGAGAGAGAGAGAGAGAGAGAGAGAGAGTAACTGTGTGCGGTTGTGATCGTTGTATTATGCGAGTTATGTCCTTTATATCTGTGTGTATCAAGTAACCATTAAGATGGGTTTTTTCACGAATCCCTCACGAACCCCAGCAGTTCAGTTCAGAATAAACTCTCGAGCAAGTAGCACGAGTTGTGTTGCAGATACTAGATCTATATGACCCAAGTTTGATTCCCGTGTGGGGAGACTTGGTCGCTCTTTTATGCACAAGGGGGCTATCCCGAAAAATGCTGTTTTGAAAAAATCGAAGGTAAAGTTTTTCCTCCTTGTTCAGTTTCTTTAAAAGACAAGGAGAGTTTTCTCTATAACCAAACAAATACACACACCAATGAAACCAATCTTCTCCTATAGGTAGGGCAATGCCCACTTTTGGTGTAGGTCAAGATTTCTGGAAACACCCGAAATCTTGGTTAGCCCGCTTGTCCTTAAAAGCGACCGATTCTTATCGAGTATCTCTGTCTTTTAGCGGGGATTTATCAACCCTCTCAGCACGTGCGTGCTGGCCTTGCTTCCTAAATGATCTAAATTGTGTCAGGACGTTGTTCTTAAACGTTCCGTGTCGTTTCAATTTCGGCAATTGTCGTCTCAAGAAATGTTGTGGAAATCCTCCATCGGCTTGCAATGGTTATAGTAAAGTTAAGCATACCCCAATTTGGAACTTTGATCTATCGATAGATAGATAGATAGATAGATAGATAGATAGATAGATAGATAGATAGATAGATCGATCGATAGATAGATAGATAGATAGATAGATAGATAGAGAGATAGATAGATAGATAGATAGATAGACAACGAAAGAAAGAGAAAGCAAGAGAGAACAATGACTGCTTACATTATTATTTTCTTGTTACCCATGTCCGTCCATCTGCAGAGACTGCTGAGAGAACGGCCTCTCATCATGAACCTACACGCTATGAAAGCGAGGCTCCACAGGGCTCACCAGGAGGCCGCTCGCAAAGCTCGAGAGGCCGCTTTAAGGGCGTTGGCAGAGTTAGGAGTAGATGGCTCTTCATACTCGTCAGGCTTTCCCAATCCTCTACCTCCAATAAGTAGCTCTCGTAAACTTGAGACGGGCGATAAAAACGACAGTACTATCTTATTCTCTGGGAGAGATGATGGCGGAGGCAACGAAGGTGAAGGAGAAGGCGAAGGCGAAGGCGCAGATCAAGGTGAAGGTCAGACGAGAGATGGCGCTCTTCGAAGGAAACGCAGTATTAAAGCGTCGACTACTCTATCTTCGATGACCCTCGGGTCATCAGTAGACACAACGCAGATGTCGGCAGCAGAGATAGAAAAGAAGAAGAGGGAAAGGCACGCTGCCAAGAAGAAGGCGAAGAAACAAATCGAGGCAGCCCTTGCGAGGGGAAACTACGAGCTGACAGAGAAGGGAGCCATCATCTACGCATCTAGGAGTTGGGAAAAGCTGGGACTTTCAGCTCCGTTTGCCAAACGTAAGACGGATGAACTGCTGTTGTTCATTTTTTGTGTGTGTGCTGTCACATTCCATACGTTAATGATCATTGCCTTATTGTCGTTACTGTTGGTTTTTGTTTGTTTGTTTGTTTGTTTGTTTGTTTGTTTGTTTGTTTGTTTGGTTAGCGTGTTTCATGAACTTGATGATTAGTGTGTTGTTGTTGTTGTTGTTGTTGTTGTTGTTGTTGTTGTTGTGGTTGTTGTGGTTGTTGCTGTTGTTCTTGTTGTTGTTATTGTTGTTGTGTTGTGGATGATGATGATGATGATGATGATGATGATGATGATGATGATGATGATGATGATGCTGGTGTTGGTGGTAGTTGTGGCGATGATGGTGGTTGTGATACGTTTTTATAGAATCTTCTTATGATAAAGGCGCTAAGCCCGTTTGTGAGGTCAGTATACATTTTTTTTTACACAAGGCGCCCATAAAATCTACAAAAAATATGATTCAGTAAAGAATTGTCACAAAGGATTACGTGGGTATATTTTCTACCTTTTGATTTTTAAGATTTGTTGGTTTTTCCTGTAGTGTAAGTCGAAACTTTGAGGTGTTTTCACTCAGCCATTAGCCCCTCCAAAGTTTTCTGGGAACTACTTCCGTTTCGGTTTGTGCTTCGTCGTGTGTGTGAGACAGCTGCTTCTAATACTTCCAGATCTAGAATCTCGATATCCAACTCTGTTTGGATGTGTCGATGGATACTTCAGGCCAAACTTCATTGTATTGACTTTTTCTAGATACATTTGGTGCAGTCATGTCCCTAACACAACACGTTGAGTTCGTTTAAACCCACAAAATGCTTACTTCGTTGTATTGACGTTTTCCAAATTTGGCGCGTATTTCAAATTTGGTGCGTAGTTTAAAAAAAAATAGAGCAAGACTCTAGATCTAGGTCTCTATTTATCCTAGATGTATTTGGAGCACAGAATATTCAAGAATGATTTGAAGTAGTCAGTAAGAACAGAAGTGCGGTTGGTGCTTTGTCGTGTGTGTGCCACAGAGTTCAACTTCGTGTTTACAAAGCTGCTTTTACTATTTCTAGATCTAGAATCTCGATATCTAACTCTGTTTGGATATGTGCTTCGCAGTATCGAACGGTACTTCAGTCCAAACTTCATTGTATTGACTTTTTCTAGATATATTTGGTGTAGTGATGTCCCCAACACGTTGAGTTCGTTTAAACCCACAAAATGTTCGCTTCGTTGTATTGACGTTTTCTAAATTTGGAGCATATTTTCAGAGTAGCTTTTTATAGAGCAAGGCTCTGCATCCAGATCTCTACCCTAGATGTATTTGCAGTACACAATTCAAGACTGCTTTGGAGTAGTTAGCAAGCAGATGTCAATCTAGATATCTAGATCTAGATCTGCTCGTCGTAAAGATGCTCTTGGAATATTAGTTTAGTTTTTAGTTTTAATTTTAGTAGAGTTTTTTTTACGGCGTTCGCAACTACATCAGGTCATATGAGCGTCAGGAATATAAGTTAATAATGTAGTAAGATGCACCATAAACGTAGAGTTTGTTTAACCCCACGAAACAGAGGTGCATGCGAGAGGAAACGGAGGAAGGCAACTATCAATCAGAATTTACGTTCTAATAGTCAGAATCTGGAGGAAAACCTGGAACGTGCTAGGCTAACAAAGAATGGGCCACGTTGGCCTTATACGGGGTGGCCACTACGGCTGGATGAGGTCGGTCGCCCGACTCGGTCGCCCGACTTGGTCGCCGGAAACGGAAAACAAATTAATACGTTTGCTTTTGAGGCGACCGAGTCGGGCGACCGACCCAATCGGCCGATCCCATCCGTAGAGGGCACCCCGTATTAGCATGCAAGACTCAGTCATTTAGTGAAACTGAAGTTGATGGGAGGTTACGGACACATGACTGAGGTGAATTCAGCGTCGTCTGTGGACATTGCAATGCCATATAATTATGATGGCGCATGTTACTATACCAGCAGTGTTGTCTACACAGAGGTCCTACGGCAATGAATCAGGTACACACATTTTATCTTGGGACTTCCTATCACTATATCACCGTTCGTAGAACGCGTCTGTATCTTGTATATAAGTGATTTTTTTTGGGGT